CAGGAGGCCAAAGTCGAAGCCCAAGGGTTTCAGCCCCAGGTCCCAGCAAGTCTAATGCCAGCCCTGGGGACCCCATTAGAACAGGGCCCCGCCCCACAGTTTGAGAACTGCTGGTGTAGCCATATCTCACTGGTCTGTCCGCCCTGCTCTCCGATCTGCAGCATGGGAGCATACCAAGCTCGCTGTGATCTGGCTAACTCCAGTACCAGCCGCAGTGAAGATGGAACGGCACAGGCGGCAGGCTCCCAGGACGCCGGGTACATCTCAGGGCGATAGCACCCCCCAGCTACCACGGCTCTGGTGCTCTTGTGTGCTGCAGTCCCACGCCCGAGTACTCTGCAGACAGACCCTCCGTTACTGGGCAAACCCCCCTCTTGGAAGCGGGGGGCTGGCAGCAGCGACATCAGCGCATGCTGAGGCATGTATCTTCTGGCCTCTGTATCACTATTTTGTGGCACTAGATACGTGGCCGGCTCCTTATCTCCCGCTGGAGAGCCCAGCAGAGTGGCTCTAGCCGTGGGGCGACAGGCTGGACTGCAGTTAACCAAACCCTTCCTAAACGCTGGCCACACCTTGGCCACTGCAAGGCTGCTGGACCCCACCCCGACCACACTGACATACAGAAAGTACAGCAAGCCCCGGGGCGCAGGGAAATCACCCCTGCCTGCCCCTCAATCCCAAACAGGGCTGGAGGGGTCCCAGGAGTGGGCTTTTGCCACTTTAATCAGCCCCGTCATATACAGCAGAGACCACGTTCCCCCAGTCACCCGGCAAGACGTCACGAGGGCAGATAAGGGCACTTCTCCTGTCTCTGCGGGGTAACAAGGAGAGAAAGGGGAGGCCTCGTGGGCAGCCGTTCCCACGGCCCCGTCATTGGGAAGAAGTGGCTAACGTACTTCGCCAGGGCATGATGCAGGACCCAGAAGGAGACGGTGGCAGGCCCTGTCTTTTTAGTGATGTGTCACACGACTTCCCTAGCTGGCTGACACGGCATTGCTGGGTGCAGCATCTTCCCCTAGCTACCCCCACAACAATCACTATCCATGGGATTACGGCCACACCCGGCTCGCTCCAGCCCCTTGGTGCCTGGTGCTTTGCAAACACACCCTGCCCCAAAGAGATTACACAGAATCCACTCAGAAACAAAATGCACCATCAATACCCCTCCATGTTTTCTGCCTGGGTTTTGCTCAGTCTAGGAAAGCCTTAGAGACAATCGGGCTTCCGCACCTGGCCATGGGGAGCTGCTGAGACGACAGTGCAGCACAGGAGAAAATCTCTGGTCCAGCCGCCCCCTTCTCACTGGTCCTTCAACTCCAGACATCACATTCTCTAAAGGAAAGTGCCACTGTATGGCCGGGGCAGCGCGGCATCCCCCAGCCCTGCTACTCACCCAGGAAGGTGCTGGAGATGTATTCAGACACCTGGTTGCCAGAGCGGCTGGTTTCGGATAGGTGCGTCAGTTCCCTATTCAGCATCCTTTTAAACTGCAAAGACAAGCAATGGTGCCCATTAGCAACCCGGCCAAGAGACCCGAGCAGGAGTCACCCCCCAGCCTCCATGGCCCTGCCCAGCGGGATGGGGACGGGGTGGAGTGGAAGCACCAAGCAGGCTCTGGGGATGGCGACAGGAATTCATTTCCCGGGGGGTTGCAGCACTCTGCCCTGGGAGGCTCTCACGGGGTTTATAATAACGTGCTCGTAATGACCTGGGCCTTCCAGCGCGCACTACACCAGACCGTGTGCCGCAGCACGGCACCAGCATGTAAACGCAGAGACGCAGCCCACAGAGGTGCGAGCTGCATGGACGTGACCAGGGGCTGTTACATAAACTGGCTGCATCTGGGTTTTGCCCTTTTCCACGCTCATTCTTGGGGAATATCCCAGCAGGTGCAACTGAAGCAAATTGCTCTGATCACAGGCTGCTTTCAAACCAATTTCCTTCCCCGTGAGTGGGCTGGACCCTGCGTTCACACCATCATGTCTGACACACATTGCACGTGGCACACTCACAACATGCTGGATCAGTCCCACTGCGCAGCATGTGCGTCTGAAAGGAGCAGGGAGTGCAGGAGCCACTGCCACGGGCACAGGCTCAATGCCACCCTGGAGAGGGTGCCCGGCAGGGACCCTGCAAAGGCCACTGGCTGAGCTCACCGGGGGAATTTCCAGGGGGTGACGTTGGTTCTGGGGCAGGAGACAAAACACGACTGGGGCAGCTAAAGCCATCAGCAAGGGCCAGGGCTGGAGGCGATCGCTCGGAGCAGAACAGGGCTCCGCATAGGACACCGAATGGGAAATACAGCCGGCCCTGAATTCCCAGGTGGGCGCCTGCACCTCAGTGCATAGCCAGGGGCACCAGGGCTGCAGTTCAGGAACCTTCGGCTGGAAACACCTGCCTCCCTCCCCGCTGCAGGGGAGCTGGCGCTGTAAGGACTGGGCTGCAGGAGGGCTCCGACACCCCATCCCCGAACTGCTGCCATGGGGGATACGCTAGACATGGGCTCTCCGGCACAAGGGTGCCCGGGGGTGCAGCCTGGCCCCAGCGAGAGCAGGCTGCACCCTGCTTGGGGTGTGAGGGCCAGAGGGTGGGCCCGGGCCAGGCTGCCGCGCGGAGAGAACTCAGGGGAGCCTGCTGGGGTGACAAGCCCCTGGGCCTGGGGCCAGCTCGCCCACTTATCTTGATAAAGCCCCAGGATGCGGAGAACCAAGGGCTGGCGTCAGGCATCTCAGCTTCCCGCCAGCAAGGCTGGCACCGTGTGGCCGGGAGCCTGGGGCTGAGCCAGGGATGCCCTTTGGGAACCGGGGGGCCGGGAGGGGGGATTAGCCGAACCCCTGATGCCCTACGAATCGGAGCAGGATGCTGACGCGCCGGATGCAGCGCTGCAGGGGTTCGGGCTCCTTGCTCATGTCCCAGGCACCCCAGGGCTGCTCCCACAGTGGCAGGTAGCCCCGCCCCCACACGCTGCCGCCCAATGAGCAGGCTCCGCGGCAGGGGCAGGACCCAGCCCTGCACTCCCATTGGCTGCCTGAGCCCCAGCCGATGGAGCCCCACTTTAACCCTTCCTGTGCTGCAAGGCACCCCCCGTCTCAGAGCCGGGCCAGGGGATGGAGCGTGCCTCGGCGCAGCGGCCAGGACAGGCGGGGAGAGGGCTGGGGGGGCTGTCCCGGGCTGTCCCGGCGGCAGCTCTCGCCTCTGCCCAGCGTGCAGGAAATGGGGCCCAGTCCTCGAGGTGGGGGCAGCTCAGGACGGCAAGGTGGGACCAGGGGCATAGGGGGGCTGGGGGTGCACCCCTGGCTTGAAATGGTTTCTGTTCTATGCAGGGTTTACAGTTGGGGCAATGGTGACAGGTTTCAGGGGGGCAGCCGTGTTAGTTTGTATCAGCAAAAACAACGAGGAGTCTTGTGGCACCTTGGAGACTAACACAGTTATTTGGGCTGATGAAGTGGGTTTGAGCCCACGAAAGCTTATGCCCAAATCAATGTGTTAGTCTCTAAGGTGCCACAAGGACTCCTCGTTTTCAGTTGGGTCAATGGCTCTCAGCACCCCCCAGTGTACAATGGGCAGAGAGCTGCTGGACTGCGGGTACTGGAGCGACACGCTGGGCGAAGGAATTCCTTTTATCAGGCCCTCGACTCTTGGCGAGAGAGACAACGTGTGTGTATAACGCAGCCTGGGGTACAGTCTGTTCCCGGTTACAGCCTGGCACCCACGGTGCATGTGTGTATCAGGCTCTCTCCCCCCGCAGATCAGAACTATTCGAAGGCAGGCCCAGCCGCCGTCCTGAGCCACTTGGCAAGTCACGCTCCTGAAAAGCGAAAGGAGCCGGAGAAGAAGCCGAGGCGCGGATCGAGCTGTGCAGCATGTGCTGCCCCAGCAACATCTGCACAACAACAGGAAGGAAGGAGCGGGTGACGTCAGCCGAGAACTTGGCGCCGAACACACACGAGCGTCTCCGCTGCTTTCTATCGCACTCCGAACATTCGTCAGAGCGGAAGGACCAGGAACCAAATCGCTCGTGGGCTTGGCTTCTGCAAGCGCAGTTGGCCAGGCCGGTCCCTCCGGGGGAGAGCAGGATTTTCCACCTCATATTTCATCACAAGTTCCAGGACGACAGTGGAGACAACATCCAACCCTCTCCGGGCAGGACTAGGCAGCTGTCAGAGCACCCGAGCCTGGAGACGCACGTCAGAAGAATCTGAGCACCTCCGAAGTGTCTATGGGCCTATCTTCATGGCCCCGCTGGAGGCAGGGCAGCATCATTGCTCCCATTCCCAGGTGGTGAACTCAGGCACGGAGAGATCCCAAAGTCACCCAGGGAGTCACGGTGCCTAGCTCCCCCGACTTCCACAGCAGTGCCTCAGCCACGCGGCCACCCTTCCTCCATTGCCGCCCTGGTGAATTCCGGTGCAGTTCTTGCCAGTGCCAACAAGGCCCTAGTGACTATGCACCAGCACCGCCCTGGTGCTCCCCTCTCTCCACAAAGCAGGGGGCAGCCCTTTGGCTCTTCCTGGGTTGCTGACGGCCTGACTGAGGTCGCAGGCTTAAGCTAGTGCATTGGACCAGCTCTCTAGGGGCTTGGCTGGCTCCCAACGTGTTGGCGTTAAGCTCCGAGCCCTCGCTCGATGGCTCGGGACCCGGACCCACGCTCCCTATGCCAGGACGCCACAGCTCAGACCAGCAGGGCCTACAGCTGAGACCCCTCGCTAGAAAGGGGCAGGAGCTTTGGGCAGGGCATTCGCTCAGGTTAGGCACTCGGTTTGCCAGAGCCCAGGTTTAACCTTCCAGGCCCACTGCACAGCCCAGATTCTCGCTGGCTGCTGTGGCGCGAGCGGGTTGAGGTGGGGCTGCGTGTACGGGCAGCCCTTGTGTGTTGAACCCGATGAGAAGGGCACCAGAGCCCACACAGTCAAAGTAAGAACCATAAATCTGACTACATCCTAATGCCTCCCTCTGCCTGGGCCTGCAGTCAGCGAGCGGAGCAGCAACGCCCAGCCCTCCAAGCGGGGCTCACTGCCACAGAAGGACCCCGTTAGCTATTGTCCCCCAAAGGCAAATCTGATCTGGGAGCGAAGAATGTGTCAGCGCAGAACCTGACTTCCCTCGGTCAGAGAAGAGCCCTGGAACGGGGAACGTCACTCCTGAGCTCAGGGTGCGATGGGACTCCCAGAGCTCGGCTCCTTGCCGAACCTGCTGCTTGCCACTCTGGTCACGGGCTCTGAAGCAGCAGATTCCCTCTTGCCAGGAGCCCCCTGCGCTCCGCCCCAGAGGGAGCGCACCCCTGGCCACACACGGTGTCTGGTGGTGAAATGTTACCCACATGCCCCCCATCCGTACAGTGGGAGCCCACGCACAAGAGGCAACGAGGCCGAGTCCGGCGCTGGGGTGCGCCCGGTAGCATCACTGTCATGTGGGGCAGTGTCTCTGGTCTGGGGTTGTGCAGCGCCTAGTGCAATGGGTTCTGGCCAGCGACTGGGGCACCCGGGCGCTACCTTGACACACACAGCAGCAGCAGGCACCTATGCTGAGTCGGGCCCCGCGGGAGTTGCATGGAGCCAGGTCTCCAGAGGGCTACTCACCCGTAGCTGCCTTGGACTCTGCTGGAACTACAGCTACCAAACCCAGAGGTACCTAAACCAGCAGCTTCTGTTGACAGTGTTGGCCATAACCTGCCAAGCGCCCAGCGGAAGGTGCTAGCCCCATGGTTCTGGTCTGGGGACCAGTTTCTAAAACTTCCCAGGTCAGCTGGCTAGAGTGTTCTCCACTTCCTGTCCTGATCCGCTGTGTGTCAAACAGCTGCCACGCTCCAGCCCAGAGCAGGCTGCATTCCTGGGGGCGGGGGGGGGGGGGCAGAGGAGTGCAACCCCCTGCGTCCAGGCTCTGCAGGTCGGGGCTTGTCCCTGGGTCCTTGGGACTGTCCACCGGCTCTCTCTGCACAGCTGTGGCCCACAGGATGGCTGGGGTGGGGGTTTATAGATAGGAGCAGTGTCTCTGTTTCCTGTCAGGGTCTGACAGGGATCGCAGGCTCCCGCGAGGAGCTGCTGCGTCTCTTACCTTGTTGGAGGCCATCTCGCTGACAGAATGCCTGGTCTGCAGGGTCTCCAGCTGGTCCAAGCACCAGTCCAGCTCTTCCAGGGTCTCGATTGCCAGCTTCTGACAGGCATCCTCTGCGGACAGAGAAGCAGGTGGCGTTGGGGAGGGTGCTCGCTGGCCCGCTGGCCAGAGGCCATGCCAGCATGCCGCAGGGTCTCAGCATCACGTCCGTGCCCCCTGGGCCGTGCACTGCAGCCGCTCTGCTCCCAGCATTTACAGCTTGGGCCCAGAGGTGCCTCCGCTTCACAGACTGGTGCCCGGATAGCGTAGCAGCCTCTAGCCCTGAAGTTCTCTCTCCCACTGCCTGGCCTGCTCTGCCCTCTCCAGCCGAGCCGTGCTGCGCTCAGCCCGCCTGCTGGCCGCGCGTGGCTGGAGGGGAAGCCGAGCCGGGGGTGCTGGCAGGGCCGGCTCGTTACATAAAGCACAAATAGCAAATATCGGGTGGAAGTTGCAGCCATTTATTGTGTTGCCATGGCGACAGCAGGGGTTGAGCCTGACGGGTTCGGTGCCAAGGGAAGGTGCAGGACCGGGGCTTGGGGGGTTTGGGGTCAGACATGATAATGACGCCTGTAGGGAGCTCTGCTCCCCGGGCTGCAGCAGGCACCGGCTACTAGCCGATTCCTGCTACCAGGCAGTCACCAGGCTCAGACACCAGAGCTTGTGAGCGGCATTGTCCCTAGAGCTGCCCTGGAGCTGGGCCTGCCCCGCAGCGGTGCGGTGCCAGGACCCGGACGTTGCTGTGAGCCAGTCCGAGAAGCTGACCCGGGCACCACCGCGGGGCCTGGTGGCACAGAGCTGAGGGGGAGCCGAACCCCAGCCTGGCTGGGGGACTTGCTGCACTTTCTGCCCGGGTTTTTCAGGCCCAAGTGGCTGGTTTTTCCAAGCCCTGGCCACATCGCACACCCCAGGAGTCGGGACGGGAGCCGAGCCCAGTCCACACAGTGCGGCTTGGCCAAGCTGCCGTTTCCTCTGGGCAGCCCTGGCCCATGTCCCTGGCCGCCCTGCTAGCGAGGTTCTGAGATGCAGAGGGGCTGTGCTTGTCTAACCACCTGCCCTGAATTAAGGCCGGTGGGAGCCAGGGTACAGCTTCAGAAAAACCATCCCTCTCGAGGGAGACCCCGGCCCAGCCCACGGCTAATTCCGCTCATTGTGCCTTAGTCCCAGTCTGAACTGGGCTCGCTGCAACTTCCGCCATTGGAGCTTGACAGGCTTGTGTCATCAGAGTCCCCAGGCCAGCTCGGGTGTGCAAGGCTGCCCCGGCGTTGATGCCCGAGGCGCACGGGGCCGGGCCCCAAGTCCAGGCAGGAAGCTTAGCAGGCACTGGCCCCTCTGCCAGGATCGGGCCCTATATCGGGCCTTATGACCCTGCCCCAGACAGCAGCCCCATATTATAGCAGAGATGTCCTGGGACACCCTGGCACCAGCCCCCCAGGGAGGGCGATGCCCAGGCCCCCTGCCCTACCCAGTGAGGTCAGGCCAGCCTGGAGAAGTGCTCAGCCTTTTAGCGGGGCACAGACTTCTGCAGGGCTGCCAGGCTCTGGGATGAGGGGGTTTAGGTGCCCAGGTTCCCCACTGGCTGGCTGAGGGGTGCCCCTCTGGCCCCCACCTGGCGTCAGCACCCCCCACGCTCCCGCCCCAGGCTGAAGCCAGCTGCAGTCGGGTTTGTTTGTGTGTTGCGGGTTGGCCGGGGTCAGAGGAAGCAGGGGCAGGGCCCACCCAGCAGCCCAGCTGGAGGCGGCAGGCCTCCCGCCGGGGCTGGAGCTCAGGCCTGGAGACACGAGCAGAGAGTTTTATTAATGGAACGTCTGACGTCAATAGGAGACTTTCCATCCTTGCTGCGGCATGAAGAGGAGCCAGACAGGAGGGAGCAGGCGAAAACCCGACATGGATCAGGAGGGGCCGTGCCAGAGCCATGGCACGCTCACCCCTTGGGGGACCGGGCTGGGGAGGGGAGCTTCATTCCCACAGGCCTCTGGCCACGGGAGGCCCCATCTCCTGGCAGCTGCCATTGTGGCTCCCGGGGCCAGTGACACCGTCAGGGGGGCCGGGCATGACGGTGCCCATGGCCGGGGACGGTGCCCCTGCAGCGCAGTTCAGAGACAGGCTGGGCGTGGCCCTGGAGCTCGGTTGGGCTATTTGCGGAGAGCTGGGAGCAAGCGGCGCTGCCTTGGGCACCTGAGCAGATGACTTGCCCACGTCCACCGTTCCCACCAGTACCAAGGCAAGCTGCAGCCCTGGCACTGGACAGCAGGCAGCTGCTCCGACATCCCAGCCCCGGGCTCAGCAGGGCAGGGGGGTGATGGCTGAGGCCGGAGGTTCACGTCCATCCTGCTGGGGAACCCAGGGCCTCGGCTCTGACGGGGCTGGGACGCAGGGATCCTGGGGGAGGCCAGTCGGGAAGAGAGATCCTAGGGGGGGTCAGTCTCACCCTCCCCTGTCAGCTCCAACCAGCTGCTGCTGGCTGCCTCCATGTGGCCGCCTGCGCCCCGGGACAGCCCTGCAGTGAGCCTGGCCCCCGCAGGGAACTTACCCGACAGGCTGGCCTTGCACACAGAGGGTGGGTTGCTGCTAGAAGTTCTCCTGCAAGACACGTGGGACAGGCAGCGGCTGAGCGTGGCATTGCTGGGGTGCACCTGACTCAAACACACAATCCCCCCCCAGGCCAGCTCCCCACGCCCCATACACTGGGGAGCAGCTTCTGCTGGGTACACGGGAATCCGATTCTCCCCCATCTCCCCTTCCCAGACCATTGTCCCCAGGAACGTTTGCTCTGTGCTCTGGGGTCTGGGGGATCCTCCCCACCTGCCCTTGGGACCTCGCCCCTTGGGATGGGCCCCCCAGCATGCGTGTTCGAACCCCTCTGCTGCTCCCTGCTCCCCACTCACTTGCTAGCCACGCGGTCCTGCAGATGCGTCAGCATGGCAAAGTTGCTCCTGACGGTGCGCAGGCTGGCCAGGACCTGTGGGAGAGGAACGCAGCCGCTGAGGGCAAGCAGCACAAGAAAGATCCTGGGCGCGGGCCTGGAGCCAGACGGCTCAGCAGTACTCCGGGGGAGCCCCATGGCTGGGAGCCTGGAATCGGAGACTTACCCTGGAGTCAGGGCTCAGACTGGAATTCACAATCCGCCCCACACCGATGGCAGGAGCAGCAGCCCCTTAGGGGGAGAGTGGGGGGTACAGTGCCAGAGCTCACAGGCAGGATCTGCCCCAGGCCTGGGAGGTGGGTGGAGGCGGAGAGGAGAGGGGACGACCCAAAGGCCTTTCTGAGCTCTGGAAGCGTGTGCCAGGACGGTGCCTAAGTATTTGGGGGGTGGGGGAGAAGCTGGTGTTTGGATGGGGTGGGTGTATGTTCTGTGCTGTGCCCGTCATTCTGTCCTGTCTGTCTGGATCCTCCCTTCCCAGAGGGCCGGACTGAGCGGCTGGGACCCATCCTGCAGGAGGCAGAGGGATGGACGTTTGCTGCGTGTCTGCGCAGTGCCTGGCACAACGGTGCCCCAGGCTGCCTGGCTCCAGGCACACGTGTCTATGGGAGCGTAGGGGATGTGCAGCGGCGGTATGATGTGGTGGGTGCTGGATGGAGACGGGCCTGTCTGTGGGGAGCATGGGGCTTGCACTTGGCTTAGATCCAACTCCGGAGCGATTCCCAGCTGCCCAGCCTCAGGGCAGAAGAGACCCCTACCTGCGCGAAGGGCGTGACGATCATGTCTTCTCCATGCCTGCAAGAGCAAAATGGCACATGAGGCCCCGCGTGGGCAGTGAGGGAGGGGCTGGGTGGGCACCCCGTGCACAAGGCTGGCCCCGGGCCTGGGCACCACAAATTAGGGGGTGAGTGATGTGCTGGCATGGAACCACCCTCTGCCCAGGACGGGATCCACCCTGATCAAGGGAGAGCAGACATGCGAGCTGGGAGTCTGGGGCGCCCAGCTGGGGCTGGCCCTCTGCTCCCTTCAGTGCCAGGCCCACATGTGAGCTCCCCTCCCATCTCCAGAGGACGAGGGCACCAGACCTGAAGACTTCAGCTTTGTCTGGCTGGACTACAGACTAGGGCTAGGGCCTGTTCCAGTCCCTTTGGCCCTTGGCCGGGTGTCTCGGCCTGCCAGCCCCGGGCGAGTTCCCCGCAGGGAGGGGCGTCCCAGAGGGGCTGCACGGGGCCGAGGCAGGGCTGGTGCTTACAGGTCGCTGGCGATGGAGGAGTTCCGGGACATGGCTTTGGGAGACAGATCATAGTCGCTGTCGGAGCGGTAGAGGAAGGACTCCCGCCGCTGGCTGTGAGGGACGTTCCCCTGCAGGACCAGGCCAGAGCCGGGGCTGGCTTGGGGGTCCAGCGGGCTCCTCCCCGATGAAAGGCCATTTTCAATGTCAAAGCTGCAGAGAGAGGGAAGGAGGAAAGGCTCAGGAGAGGGGAGGCAGAGACCCAGGGCCTGCCATGGGCCCACACCGTCTTGCCCAGCGCGGGCTGCTCTGGGACGCTCCTGGCTAATTTCTCCCAGCTCTGAACCCCGCTCACTGCACATGGGGCCAGGCCAGGAGCCTGGGGAAGGGGAAGGAACGTGGACACAGGCTGTGCTGTGCAGGCCGATGAAAGGCCTGAGAAGGGGCAGGGAAAGGGGTTTCTGAACTGCAATCGGGGACAGAGTTGTGGGGCAGACCCAGCCTTGCCCCACAGGCAGCCAGGCACGCTGGGGTGACTGTCACAACGCCTGCTTGCTGCTGGCTCTGTGGCTGATACCCCCACGGCGGGCGACCCCCATGGCAATGAGATGCTGTGGGCAGCCCTAGCTCTCGAGTGTAACCCTACAATTGCAGAGCACCCCGGTTTGTAGCACCCCTACTCCCAGCCCCACGCCGGCCCCCCAGCACCCACAGCACTGCAGCATAAGGCCCAGACACATGGGGCTAAGAGTTCCAGGCCCAGCCCCCTGCAGTGCCCATCTACCCCCTACCCCCACAGCGCTGCAACCCCCCAGCCCTACTGCCACTGGCCCATCTCTGGGCCCCCTGGGGCAGGGCAGGCATCCTGCCCATCTCACAAGGTGGGCTCCGCTCTGGCAGAGGAAACGGATTGTTTGCATCCGAGGGGAGCGGGGTCCTGGCTGTGGGAGCAGCAGTGGGGTGGGTGCAGATCTGGACCATGCAGTGACGCTGGGGGACGGTGCCCAGGCCTGTGCCTTGCTGAATGGGCAGGTTCTTACAGAGCTACAAACAGGGACCAGGCCTGGCCCCTGGGCCTGCTACGTGCTGCTCCCCCCTGCCTGAACCTCATCTACCCGGATTCCTGCACTCGGCCAGAAGCCAGCACGGCTGCCACCCCCTAGCGCAGGGCTGGGAGCCGTGCTGGGGCAGCTTAGGCTGGTGGGGAGGCCAGGAAGGGCTCTGTGCAGCCAGACTCCAGCCAGATACAGCGTTCGTCTAGTGCACGTGTAGCAAGAGGGAATGAAGTGCAGTCAAGTGCACAGAGCAAGGGCCTGGAAGCCAGGACTCCTGGGTCCTATTACGAGCTCTACCACTGACTCACTAGGCCGCCTTCTGCCTCAGTTTCCCGGTTTGTGTAAACAGAGGTAGTGAGATTCACCCGCCACTCATGACCATCTGGGGTGTGCTTTAAGCCCCCTGCAGAAGGCAGCTCTCCAAGGGCCCCGTCCAAAGCCTGCTCCATGGAGACACTCCCGGCAGTCCTGCAGGCTGGGCACCAGGCCCCCACGATCCCCGCTAGAGACAGCTGCAAAGAGCCCGGCTCTGTGGACGGAGCAGGGACCCACGAAGGGGCTCGGTGCTGCGAGCCCCAGCTCTGCCCCCGCCCGACCAAAGGCAATGGTGCTGGTAGCGCTGCCCAAGGCACACCCCTGTGCCAGCACATCCCCCATGCCGGAGCCACCTGCAGCAGCAGCGCCGACCTTGGGAAGACGAGGTCAGCGCAGCCGAATGCTGCTCTAACAGCTGCTCAATAGGATTTTCCAGCAGCAGCTGCTGCCCCCACTTGGGGATGGAGTCAGGAGCCCCCATTCCCATCGACTGGCCCAGCTCGGCTAATCAGCGCACTTGTCTCCTTCCCTGCAGGAAGGTCACAGCCGTGGGGGCGGGGGGGAGCAATGGGCTTGGCCGAGCCATGGCCCATCCAGAGGGCTGGTTCACTGGGGTTTGTAGGAACCTGCGTGTCTGTTGCACGCCCCACACTGCCTGTCCCAAGGAGAGGCAGGGAGCTGGGTAGCAGCTCCCCCATGGTAGCGTGGGACAAACTCTCCAGGGAGCTGGCGAGCTCCGGCTGGGTTTGGTTTGGCTCAGCCCCGAGGCCAGGGCACTGGGCTCTAGCCTGCCCAGCTCAGATTCTCCCGGCCGTGAAAACAGCCCTTCAACATCTCACTGCTGGGACGCATGTCCCCACCTTCAGCCGGTCTTGTCCCTTCCTTACCGTCACCCCATACTCCCAACACATCCCCCGGGCAAGCCCCGCTCCAGTTCTCGTGCCCACCCTTGTTGATGGCTAAAGCTGCATATGGAAACGCAGCCCCCACTGGGGAGCTGAGCTGAGAACCGTCCCCACCCCCTCGACGGTGCAATGCCAAGGCCCGGGGCCGCTTTTCAGCAGCACGGCCATTTCCTGGATGCTGACAACGGCATTATTTGCTTTGGCCTGAGCTGCTCGTCCTCCTCGCAGGACGCCTGCCCCTCCGAAGGATGCTGGGAGGTGGAAAAGGCATGGCAGCGTGGAGTGGCTCGCGTCAGCTGGTTTGGAGATGGAGGGGGCCCCAGGAGGGGCTGAGAATTGTTGAGGAGCAGTGGGGGTGTCAGGGAGCAGCGGAGAGAGAAGGCCCAGCTCCTGCTCTGCCGGCGATACAGAATTTACCCATTTGTCAATGGAAAAAGCCCTCGACGCCATCACTTCCACAAAGCAATAGCGACTAGCGGAGTAGGCTGATAACATCTGCCGCTGAGCCCAGCTGGGAGGGGTTGCAAGCACTTGGGAGGACAGGGCTACAATTCCAGTCCTATCGATAGCACAGGGAAATCTGGGCTCTGGCCCCATGGAGACATTCGCCTGATGGGAACACTCCCCTCAGTGAAGGCGTAACCCCACCTGAAATCAGAGCCGGTGGGCACTGCCCTTCCCAGCTCCCTGGCTTCCCATGGGCTCAGAGACACCGGCTGGACCTTCAGTCCCTGTCTCCTCAGAGGTGTGCAGTGCAGGACTCCACGGCCCAGCCCCTGCCCAGCACGCTGACCACCCTGGGAATCCTCTGTCACTAACGGGGCGTTCATCCAGGCCCTGCTCCCCGCCACGCCCCGCCACGGCTCCCTTCAGCCTGCAGCGTTCCCATGGCGCTAGCCGGGGCATGCGGAAAGGCAGCCGGCACGTCCCAGTAACCAGTCGTGGGGACCGGCTGCGCCGCAGGATGTGGGGCTGAGCAAGCAGGGTCGGGGATGGGCTTTGCTGCAGCTCGGGTGGGGAGGGCCAGGGGGGCCATGTCTTGCCCGGGCCCGTTGGTAGCTTTCCAGGGCTGTAAACGTGCCCAGACGCCCTGCTCTCGCCCCACCCAGCAACCGCTGCCCTGCCCCTCCCCCCCCCAGTCCAGGTCACACCTGGCTGGGGGAGCTGGGTGCAGAGCGCACCTTACCCCCTGCGCCTTCTCCCCTCCGAACGCGCCCGGAGCTCGCTAACGGGCAGCCAGCCCCCGCTCTGCCTCCTTGCCCCATCAGTCCCAGGAGGGGCTGGAGCCAGGGACTGTCCCCAGCTGCCCCCCAAGTGCCTCGAAAGGCAGCACTGCCAGAGAGAGCCACTCAGGGCGCGCCGAGGCAGCCAACAAGCAATGGGGTCCCCCGTCCCCAGGCTGGTTCTTTCGCACACAGCCCATCGCCGGAGCCTGCCCTGAGGTCTATGGGCTGGCAGTGTCAGCAGCCGGCCGGCCCGAGCTGGGCTGGCCCTGGGATCTGAGCCCAGTGGGCACCCGGCAAGCGGCGCAGTTACCGTCTGTGCTTCTGCGCGATGTCGATGGGCCGGTTGACGGCGCGGGGCGAGCCGGCCAGGTGCCCGTTGCAGACCATAAGGGCACAATCTGCCAGGGCCACGGAGCCACAGCTTGTGGGCAGGCTCATCCTGTCCTGTGCCCTCCAGCTGCTCCCACGCCAGCAGGGCCAGGCCCCTGCACACCTGCAGGGAGAGCGGGTCTTCTCCTCTAGCGCGGGGGCCTGGCCCGAGACTCCCATGGGCCGCCCTGTGGCACCGCCAGCACTGCGTCCGTGGCTAGCTCCCCACAGCGCCTTCCGCTGCACCCCTAGGTCTAGGGGGCTCTGTGGAGCTGCAGCCCAGGGTGGGCTGGGCATGGGCACCTCGCCATGCTGCGCCCAGCTGCCCTCTGCCTCTCTGCTCCCACGAAGCGGCTCCACACAGCCATGGCTGGCTCTCCCTGCGTGTCCCCTCTCCACACTGGCGAGGGGGCCGGCTCCCCCAGGCCGGCTGCAGGCTCAGATGCACACCCCCCCCCCTCCGGTGGCTGGCTTGGCTTTGCCTTGCTCTGCCCCAGAAGTTCCTTCCCTCTGCCCTGCTGCTCCCCCTGCCAGCAACCGGCACAGGACCCTCTGCGAGCCCAGCTCGCCAGCTCCGCGTGATGTCACTGGGGGGAGGAGGGAGGGGCCAGCTGGCACGTTCAGCTCTCTGCAAATATTTCCCTTTAACTCCTTCCAGCCCAGCATGTGCCCTGCTGGCTTCTGCCCACGTCCGCTCCCTGGCGCGCCCCCGGGGCACGTCTGGCACAGGCTGCCTCGTGCCCCAGGGACCAGCGCGCCAGAGTGCAGGAAACGGAGCTGTCGCTGGGCAGACCCACTCTTGGAACCAGCAGGCGAGGAGTTAACATAAGACGGGCTGGGGCCATGGGGGCTGGATACCACCTGGCAGCAGGGTAATGACATGGTGGTTCCAGGCACGGCAGCCTTCTTGCCCCAGTGACCGTGACAGGCAAATCCACCTCCCCCAGGTGGGGGCCCACGGTTCGTGTCCGGACACAGACGTGGGGCTCCAGGGGACAACAGGAAGGATTTCACACACACACACCCCCGGGGTGAGACAACCGCTGCCCCAGCCCTTTGCTCAAAGCCCCAAATCCGCCCCCCTTCCCCAGAGCCGCAGCTGAGCCTGTCCAGGACTGGGAAGTGACGCTCTGCTCTGCTCTCCAGCCCCCACGACCGTCACGTCTGAGACCCTCGCCACATGGGACACATTTCCCATCACTCCCCGGCTGAGGCAGGGCTGTGAGCCCCAGGAGGCAAGTGGGGAACTGACGCACAGAATCAGCAGCTGGTCCACACTCCCGAGTCCCACGCGGGGCCCTACCCACCGGGCCAGCCGGCCTCTCACCCCTCTGCCCTGCTGG